ACGTCGCTGGAGGGCCTCGCGCCTCCACGCCTCCACGTTTCTCCTCCTCCTCCTCCTTATCCTCGTCGTCCTCCTCCTCCATCCTCCGCCTCCGCTTCCTCCTCCTCCTCGTCGTCCTCCTCCTCCTCGAGCCTCCTCCTCCTCCTCCTCCTCCTCCTCCTCCTCCTCCTCCTCCTCCTCCCTCCCTTTTTTTCAAACTGGGTCGTCGCTTACGCAGACGGGGCGCCCAACGTCGCACCTGACCAGTCGGGCCGAACCGAACCGGAGCGGCCACTCGAACCGAACCGAACCGGTCGGACCCAACCGCGCGAAAACCGGAACCGAACCGAACCGGCGGCAGGCCCAAGCCGTACCGGCCGAAACCGGACCGATGCCAAACCGAACCGGCCAAGCAAAACCGACCCGGCTGCAGAACCGGACCGAACCGAACCGAGCCGATCCCTTCATGTTGGAGGGTCCAAGCGGCCTCTGAGAAGGCTGAGTATGAAACGGCCCAGGGACACCCATATACACACACGCACGCACACACGCATATATATATATATATATATATAAACAGAGCCAAGGACTTCGAACATTTCCCATGAACCCTCGTCTTCCCCTCCACACTGTGTTCCTGGGAATCGACGTTTATTTGTGTCTGTGTGTTTCTGCCCCTGCTGACAGCCGAAGCCTCTGGGCCCTTCTGAGAGGGCCCTGCTCTCTACGAAGCCGCCCATCCCTCGCGCCGCCCCCTTGGGAGCGCCGCCGAACATCGTGGTCGCGCTGGTCGACCGACCACGTCAGCGCGCCGCGGAGAGATTGCAAAAATGTTCGTGCGCAACTCTGGAGTCCCGAGACGGTGAGGTGACACACCGTGCGGTGACCTCGAAACCCCCCAAGACCCCACCGCACGGTCCGTCAACGCACGGTCTTGGGACCTCGGATGCCCCACTCGCCGGAGACGTCCTCGGAAAACGACCCGAGTTCCAAAACCGTGCGGTGACCCCGAATCCCCACCGACTCACCACACGGTGTGGTCATCACCCCGCTTGGGGGCTCTCCAACAACAGACGCACGAACAACACGCGCACGGAAATTCCTTTCATTCGTTGTTCGCGATCATACCCGTGACCAGCCCCGTCACCCCCACTTCACCCCCCTGGTCATGTCGAGCCGGCGCCGTCTGCGAACTAGCCTTTCCTAAACCAAGCGTGCGTTCACAGACAGCGCTGACGCGAATCGTGACGTGGTCAGCGCCGCCCCCTCCCCGCCTCCCCCACTCAGTCACGACCCCGTCATCGCCAAGGGATACAAACAAAAAAACAAAGGCGGCAGACGGCGGCATCTGCGGGATGCCCATGCCGCGGGCCGCCCTGGGGTGCAGGTGCGGACGACTGGCGTGCCTCTGCCAGCCCCGTGTCCGGCGGCGGCTCGGACAGATCACGCCCCCCACGCCATGGCCAGCATCCATCGCCCTCGGGGCTCGCAGCGAAGAGGGAAGGGGGAGGGCACGGCGCGACGCCTCTGCCGTGCGTGCTGACATGATCTGGTCGGGCGGAGGAGGCGCGCCGGCTGGTGGTCGAGGACAAGCTGAGCTGGGTCGGCGGCTGGGGGGAGGCGGATGGGGGCGCGGCGAGGGCGCCGTGCGCGCCAGAATAAAACAGTCGGGGTGGAGGAGGCGCGCTCCAAACTCGGAGACGTCTCCCAAGTGAGATCGAGCGAGAGAAGGCCGTATTGCCACATCAGGCGATCACAACAGCAAGCTTGGCCGCGAATCGAAGAATCGAGTTTGCGCCGTGCTTGCGAGAGGAAGCTCGAGCGCGGGTCGGTCGAGTCGAGCGACGAGCTCGCCAAGATGCTGCGAGCTCCACTGTGCTCTGAGATCTCTCACCGCCTGGGCTGGGGAGGATCGCTCAACCTTGATCGCCGTACCCCTCATCCCGTATTCGCTCAGGCCGGCTGCGCCAATTTCTCGGCACTCGTCGGGGCTCGGAGGAAGCCACCACGGGGGTCGTCTGCGCGCAGCTCCTGGCCCGTGTCCATCTCACCCTTCCCCGCCCCCCGCCGCAGCAGGGGGGAGGCGGGTCCCGAGGGCAGCGGGTCCTGGACCCTTGGGGCCTTCCTTCCATCCACGACGAGATCTTCTCATCCCGCGTCAGCTTCCGACGCGAGGAGGAGGAGGAGGAGGTGGAGGAGGAGGAGGAGGAGGAGGAAGAGGAGGAGGAGGAGGGCCCCGAGGGACCGAGAGAAAGCGACCCCTCTGACCCGCCCTGGCCTGGAGCGCGCTCCGGCCAGGAAGGCCGAGGCGAACTGGGCCGTGGCGGCACGGCGGCACGGACCCCGCGGACACGACGGCGACGACGGAGACGACGACGATAACGACGACGACGACGACGACGACGAGGACGACGAATACGGCAGCGACGGCATCCGACCTGCTGGCAGGACGCTGAGGGGCGCCGAGGGCCGCCGAGGGGCTCCGAGGGCCGCCGAGGGCCGCCGAGCGCCGCCGAGACGCAACAGAAAAAAAGCCGGCGAAGCCACGCCGTGAAGCAAACGCCGCCGACGCCGAAACAACGTCGCCAATAGCGACTGCGAGGCCAGGACGGCCCGACCGACGGCCGAGCCACCAGCGAGCCACCATCCCCGGGCCTTCGGCAGCTCCGCCATCACCTTGCGGATCTGCGGCTCGAAGCCCATGTCCAGCATCCTGTCCGCCTCGTCGAGGACGAGGTACCTTGCCCGCGTGGAGCGGGCCTCGTCGTCGTCGTCGTCGTCGTCGTCGCCTCGTAGAGGACGGGGTGCGCCGCCCGTGAGGGGCGTCGCCGCACCGTTCCACCTCCAGCCTCCTCGGCGCCTGACTCTGCCTCCCCAACCTTCGCCTTTCTGCCCGTCCCTGCGTTCCATACCCCTTCCTTTCCCCGCTCATCTCCATCTCCCCCCCTCCGTTCCACATCATCGTCATCTTTCCGCTTTCCTCATCCAATTTCTCATCAATCCTGAAGCTCAAGACACACCAAATGGCTTCAAGGATGGAACGGCAGGTCGTTTTCAAATGCGGCCCTCGCCTTCGCGCAGCGCATATTCATCTTGGAGGTTCGCAGCAGCTTCCAGGATGGAGGGCCAATCGTCTTTTTGAATGCGGCTCTTGCCCCCGCGCCGCGAAAATTCGTCGGAGAAACTGGTCAGAGCTTCACGGATGGAGCGCATGTACTCCAGATTTCGTAATAAAGGGAGAGGGGTCTCATTTCGGGGGGGTTCTCTTCCAGGCTATCTTGGAGGGCCTGGGGGGTCTGGGGACGATGTTTTGGAGGGTTCTCCCACGGGGGAGGTCTGAAATGGCTTGTCTTGGAGGGTCCAGACCCCCTCCCTTTTATTATGAAATCTGGAGTATTCAAGGATGGACGCCGATGTCAAAATGCAGCTCGCGACTCGGTGCTGCGCGCATTGGGCTTCGCAGTCTGCAGCAACTACAAGGATGGAGGGCGGCTCCTGCTTCACAGTGGTGCTCTCAGAAACTTGAGCATCGGATTCGGTCGGGCCTGTCCCCCTTACAGGCGGATTCTGGACGAATGTATACATATATATATATATATGTACAAAAGTATGAACGATATACAACTATATATATATATATATATATATATATATATATGCATGTATATGTATACATACAACCAAACAAACAAGCAAACATACATACAGACAGACATACATACATGCATATATTTATAACACACCCGAGCATGTTCCATAAAATATCAAACATGGCAAAACAATCGTCCCCTGACTATTTGTTGGACAATTCTTGAGTATTCCCCCCCCCCCTCCGTAGAGGGACAGGCCCGACGTGAGCAGCAGGAGGCAGCTGCACGCATGCAGGGCGCGGCCGGTCCCCCTTCGCTCCACGGCGGGGCTCCCTCGCCGGGCAGCGCTTGTCTCCACCTTCCCGGGCACGCCTCCCCGCCAGCGCCGGCCCTCGCAGAGAGGATCGGCCGCGGTGCCTTCGCCAGCGGGGGCCCTCGCGGGGTGCCAGCGGGGGCCCTCGCGGGGCACCTCGTCGCAGCTTCGTGCCCGCGCCTCTTCGCCAGCGCCGGCCTTCGCAGAGAGGATGCCGCGGTCCCTTCGCCAGCGGGGGCCCTCGCGGGGCACCTCGTCGCAGCTTCGTGCCGGCGCCTCCCCGCCAGCGCCGGCCCTCGCAGAGAGGATCGGCGGCGGCGCCTTCGCCGGCGGGGCCCTCGCGCGAAGGCCGGGCGCCCGGGAGGGCCCGAGACCGCTCGGGGTGGAGGGCGGCCCACTGTGCACGGCGGGGCGCTCGCCGGGCACCCTGTCGTTGCGTCGTGCCCGCGCCTCCTCGCAGGCGCCGCCGCTCACGGGGAGGCTGTGGCGTGGTCCCTGCGGGAGCGGGGCCCTCGCCTGCACAGGCAGGCCCAGGGGCCCCCCCGTTCGCAGCCGATTTTTCTCCCCCGACCCCCGACTTTTCGACGAAAAATAAAGCCGCTCAGAAAAGGAGGGAGACCCTGGGATACACCCCAAGGGTGCTATTCGCACAAACCCTCTCGAGGATGGACGCGCCCCCGTCGTATATCCCAGGGTTGGGCCCCAATTTTTTCGTCCATTCGAAAACCTCCCAAAGCCTGGGATAGGGGTCGACATATCCACTGTTACCCGTCGTTCAGGATGGTGCCCGCTGGTGTTCAGGCAAACGAGCTCGTCGGAAGTGGGGCGCGCGGCGTCTGCGCGGAACGGGCACTCCCCCGACGCAGGAGATCGGTGCTGGTCCGTGTCGTGCGTGACGCGCGTTCGGTCGAAGCTGCGCGAGGGCGAAGAAGGCACTGGCCTTACTGACGTGCCATATCTCGTGCTCCCCGTCGGCGGGCGGTGATCCTTGGGTTGTCCAGCAATTGTCCCGTGGTTGCCCCGTGTTGTCCTGTAGCTGTCCCGTGGTAGTCCATCGGATGTCCTGTGAATAGTCCGTGGCTGTCACGGGGTTGTCACGTGGTTATCCCGTGGTTGTCCAACGGTTGTCCTGTGGATGCCCCGAGGTTGCGAGGTGGTTGTCCAACGGTGTTCCCGTAGTTGCCCAGCGTTTCTCATCTGGCCGTTTCGTGGTTGTCCTGCGGTTGTCCTGCGGTTGTCCGGTGGTTGTCCCGTGGTTGTCCTGCGGTTGTCCTGCGGTTGTCCCGTGGTTAGCCTGCGGTCTACCCGTGGCTGCCCAGATTCGACATGGGGGAGATTAAGATATGGATATATCAGAGTGAAGGGCCGAACGGTCATTCATTGTCCCTGGGTGCGCAGCTAAAGTGAAAATCCGTGGTGAAGATTATGTATATTGCGTTAATCTCTCACTTATGAAGAAAAATTGTTGCTGATCTCCCCACCGATGCAAACTGTTTCTTCTCATTCAAAGTGTGCCCCTCGACGCTCGCACCCTGTTTTTGGACAGGGAAAATCTTGATGCTCAAACTAGGCCCCTGGCCCCCGGGTGACAACAACAACGGCTCCCGCCTGAGACTTCCTCACAATCTAACCAGGACCCCCGCTCCCGCCCGAGACATCCTCGCATTTTACTCAGGAATCGCGCTCTCGCTTGGGAATTAATTCCTTGCGATTTATTCAGGAATCGCTCTCCCGGCGTTCTGGAGTCGCGCTTTCGCTGGAGACTTGCTTGCAATTTTCTGATGCCTAGCGCCCTTGCGTTGGAATTTCTTGCAAGTTGCTCAAGCGGCGCGCTCCCGACACCCAGGCGCCCAAGAGTCGCGCCCGTTGTGGCCCCACGTGCACGCCCTTCGTGGCCCGGCTGTCGCCGTTTGTGGCCCCCTCACTGTCCTACGTGGCCCAATTGCTACCCTCAGTGGCCCCATCGTTGCCTTCTGTGGCCCCGCATTATCTGCCCTTCGTGGCCCCCGCTCGTTCGCGCTTTTCGTGGCCCCGTACGCATTCCCTTCGTGTCCCCGCTGTCGCCCTTCGTGGCCTACTTCGTGTCATTCGTGGCCCTGCTGTCGTTTTCTCTCGCTCTCGCTTTCGCTGGTCATCGCCGTCGTCGTCGTCGCCGTCGTCGTCGACGTCGTCGTCGTCGTCGTCGCTCCCCTGTCCGTCCCTTTTGGGGTCGGGTCGACGGTTCGCGGCCGCCCCGCCGATCAGCGCTGCCGCTGGCCAGGCCGACGGTCCGCGGCCGCCCCGCCGTTTGCCGGGGCCCGGCCTGCAGGGAATAAAGGTATACCCCCCAAAAGGGCTTCGATCGAAGACGAAGAGGGCGGGTATCGAGGGTTTGGGAAATACGCGTTATCGGACACTCGAGCAGATAAGGGCGAACAGGCTTAAAATTATTGTTATTGTTGCTGTTGCTGTTGTTGTTGCTGCTGCTGCTGCTGCTGCTGCTTGTTGTCGTCGTCGCACCCGCGACCCATACCGCGACCCACCCCGACCCACCCGCCACCCACCCCGCGACCCACCCGCGACCCCCCCCGCGACCCCCCCGCGACTCACCCGCGACCCACCCGCGACCCGACCCGCGACCCACCCGCGACCCACCGTCGACCCACCTGCGACCCAACCCGTGATTCACCTACATTGTTTTAACTAGAAATCGGCGCCTGCGGCGGGCTCGTTCTATAGCTTGAGAACATTCTGCGCCTGCGGCGGGCGCCTTCAGAGCCTCGCAGACTGCCGACGTCCCCCGCCGCCTCCTCACTCTTATCCGCAACTGCGGGGTGGTACGGTATCAGAGTGAGGGGGGCGAACGGTCAGTCATTGTCTCTGGGTGCGTGGCTGAATAAGGAATTCGCGGTGAGAGTTCTGCTTGTTCCCCACCCGACAGGTTGGGGGTTAGATTTCAAGAAGACACCCCCCGGCCAGCCCCACGCATACCGCGGCCGCCAGATCTCAAATTGTCCCGAGTCCCCGATAGCCCCTGCGACTCCCGCCTCGCGCCCTCGACAAACACGGCTGCACACTGCGGCCGCCAGGCCCCAAGTTGTCCCCACAGTCCCCGATAGCCCCTGGGACTCCCGCCTCGCGCCCTCGACAAACACGACTGCATACCGCGGCCCCCAGACCCCAAGTTGTCCCGAGAGTCCCCGAGTCCTGGGAGTCCCGCCTCGCGCCCTCGACAAACACAAAACAACACATTAGTATACAACACAGCATGACATGACATAACATAACATAACAAGACCATGACAAGCACAGCGCAATACAAGAACACGAAGCACAGCAAGGCAGAGCATTGCATAACATAGCACGACATACCACACATTAACATAATTGAGCATCACATAGCACTCATTGACGGAACATATCCTACCACGGCACAACGTGCAGGACATGTCATAACACGCCAACGTAGCATAGCGACGAACACGACAGAGCACAACATGCCACCATATAATATAACATGACAATACACGATCATGGCATAACATGACGGAACCTCATATGGCAGTCGCATTACACTCAAGACCATGGTATAACATCACATAACTGACCCTATCATACCATGACAGAATATCACAACGTAGTAGACGTAACACGACATACCATACCATATCATGGCATAACATGGCATAACACTGCATGGCAGACCATACCATACCATCACCATGAGACAGCATACCACACCATACCATCACATAACAAGCATGACATACCATAGCATAGCAAATCATGACGCCCTACAGCATTCGATACCATCAGAACACATACCAGGGCATAACATTGCAGAGCATAACATGACATACCATACCATAACAGGACCGAGCATAACATAACAAGCATTGCCGGGACATGTCATATCACGACACAGCGTTCAGAACATGTCATAACACGCCAACATAGCATAGCGACGAACACGACAGAACACAACACGTCGCAATAGAAGATCACATACCATAGCGCGATCATGGCATACCATGAGCAGTATCATTACAAACCAGGCCATGACAGAACATCACATAACATACCACATCAGAACATGCACAACATAGTAAACGTAATACCGCATACCAGAACAGAGCATGATATATCATGACAAGGCAATGTAGATCATGAAATAACAGATCACATCAGAACGTTACAAAACAAACCAGAGCATAACGTCACATAACAGAGAACCACATAACATCAGATTAACTAACCAAACCAGAGCACAATATAACATCACATAACAAACCAAAACCAGGCCAGACCCCCAGTTGTCCCGAGAATCCCCGAGTCCTTGCCGCCGCCCCGCTGCGGGCGGCCTCCTCGCCTGCGTCCCTCAGTCTAAGGATGGGAGGGGAGATTGATAGATCGACAGACAGATAGAACGCGACTCCGACCCCATGCCAATCGCAAACCGAAAGCTGCACCCATCCCCACCCTCATCCTCCATATATCACACGCAAGGTGGTCCTGACGGCAGGTGCCCACGAAGCGGGAACGGAACTTGGCACGGGAGGGTGCACGAAGACACCTTGGATGCATCCTGGGCTTCCTCTGGCCCTCCATCTTCCCTTCACCCCTCTTCCCGCTCCACCTCCCCCACATCCTGTCCTCTCGGGGATCTTCTGACCCGGGTCAATCCAGACCCGGGTCAGCAGGAAACCAAAAACCTGCAATGCAGGAACAAACAAACTGCAACGCAGGTCTTCGCCAACCCGGGTCAGCCAATAGGCGCGGCCGCCTCGCGGCCACGAGCGGCTCGCTAACCCAGGGTCAGCCAGAGGGGGTCTCCGCAGGATCCTGCAGGATCTGGCGCCCTGGCTGACCCCCGTCTGCATTGACCCCCGTTTCTTGGCTCCCGATCCTCTCCCTCCACCTGCTCCCTCCACCCCGGCCTGGACGACGACGGCGGCCGTCGAGGGCCGCCCAGGGCCGCTGAGGCGCGCCGAGGGCCGCCGCGGGCCGCCGCGGGCCGCCGCGGGCGACGGCGACGGCGACGACGGCGACGGGCGGCCCGATGCTCTTCACGTCCACGGCCACCGACAGGCCCAGCGGCGGGCAGAGCAGGTCGTTCAACCGCCCTGGGGTGGCCACCAGGACCTGGGGCGCGCGGACCGGCCCCTCCCGGTGTCAGGCCGCACGCCCCGAGGCTCGCGAGGATCGGTGAGGCGTTCGGCACGTGGACAGGGCAGGAGGGACCGGGCAGGACCAGGGTGCGATAGATCGCCATGGAGGAACGGTGGGAAAGGGTGAAGGACAGGATACGACCGAACGCACTCGGTGCTCAGGCGAGAGCTCCATCTTGAAAACGATCCCTGCGACTGTTGCAAGCTCCGGCGACGAATGTGCGCGGCGCCACCAGGACAAGTTCTCCATTGTGAAAACGGCTGATTGTCCGTCTTGGGATCAATGGGAGGTTAGGACAGCGGATAAGAACTAGGAGGGATAGGACAGGACCGGAAAGGATGGTATGTAATGGGATAGACGGGAAACAAAAGCCAGGAGGGACAGGATCCCCCTTTGAAGCCTCTGGAAACATTCGGAAACCAATGGGGTGGGCATGACCTGGGTACGAGCACCTTCTAGCGGGGTCGAGGCGGCCGCTTTCAGGCCTATGGGATCGTCCCACAACGCTGGTCTGCGGTAATACACGAATCGTCATACATAAACTGAGAGTTACTGTTTTCGGTGGTATGCTCGGCGCTACTTCAAGGCTGGCATGAAATATTTGGCCGGAACACGGCAATACCCTCACAGCATCGTGTTTTCTGACAAGTGTCAGAACGACCGAGCGCTTCGACTTTGAACAGCGTGTGAAATCACATTTGGCAAGGCGGGGCTGGAAAATGACCACAGCCACTGCTTCTTGTTTGCGCCACCTTCCAGCCGGCCGAAAAAAAAGCAGTGGCTGTGGTCATTTCCCTGGTGCCAAGCTTATCGAGCATGACCGCAACCACTGCTTTGTTTCTGCTGGCTGGAAGGCGGCAACAGAAGAAAAGCTGTGGCTGTGGTCGTTTCCACGCCCCGTACGGCAAGGCGTGTAGGGCGACGAGACCGACGTCTACGCATCCGCTGCCCCCGGCCAGGCGCGGGCCCTGGAGCGGGGCAGCGCCCTTCCGGCTGGGGCCAGGGTGGCAAGCGCGCACCGCTCCTGGGCCCCACGGTGGGCCCGACTCTGGCCAGGGAGGTGCCGCTCCCAGAGTGAGACTGCGGACCGGCGCGCAGCGCATCGCCCACGAATCGAGGGATGAAAAAACGACCCTACCCTGGGTTACAAGTGCGTGGTCTGTAAGCATCCTGGGACCCCCCAAAAGCCTAGAGCCGCCAGGACGCGGCACACCGCGCAGGGCTGACCCCGCCAGCCCACAGGAGTTTCAGCGCACAGCGCCTCGTAAACCAGGGTAGGGGCGCTTTTTATGCCCTTGAACGAAATCCAGTGTATGACGAACGGACAACACGCACACATACCCATAGGGGGGTCGTTGGGAGGAGAACTGGCTATGGGCATGGGTGCGGGTTGTCGGACCCTGGGGAACGCTCCCGTTCGAGCGGGGACCCCCATCCGACAACACGCACCCATAGCCCTCTCCGATCCCCCTATGGGTATGGGTGCGGGAGGAGGAGGAGGAGGAGGAGGAGGAGGAGGAGGAGGAGGAGGAGGAGGAGGAGGAGGAGGAGGAGGGAGGAGGAGGGGAGGAGGAGGAGGAGGAGGAGGAGAGGAGGAGGAGGAGGAGGAAGAGGAGGAGGAGGAGGAGGAGGGAGTGAAATTGTGATCTCCGCGGGGTCATGGCGGAGGTCGCTCAAGATCGGCCCACGTCCACGTCGGACGCAGCACCGTCGACCGGAGGCGGTGCGCCGAGAGAGAGAGAGCGCCCTGCGCGCCGCCGCGCCGGCCCTGGGCGGGCCGTGCTGCCCGGCGGATGGGGGAAGAGGAGGTGGACCTGGCCAGGGGCAGCGGATGTCTATATCTGGGGGTTGGGGGAGGGAGAGGAGGAGGGAGGAGGAGGGAGAGGGGGAGGAGGAGGAGGGGGAGGAGGAGGAGGAGGAGGAGGAGGGGGGGAGGGGTTCGAACCGGTAGTGACCCCCCCCCCCCCAGTTTTCTGGAGGGGGGGGGGTGGGGGGAGGGGTTCCGACCGGCAAGTGACCCCCCTCCCCCCGGTTGTTCGCCGGCAGCGGCAGAAGACGCTCTTTCCTATATCTCATCGCCCGAGACTGAAGGAATCGTTCTGTGGAACCTCATGGGGGCCTCACGTGCCATCTTGTTGGCTCTGGAGAGTCTGCGCTGATCGAACCCGCTCGACGCAACAGATCGGCGCCGATCGACGCTACATCGGGGCTATCTTATTTCGATCACCAGACGCTGATTGACGCTAGTGCACTCGAAGAACGAAATTACGATGGTGTGCAAGACTCCAATGAATTTAGAGGCCTCCTAGATGGGCTCCAAGTCGATGGGGTCGGAGGATCGCGCCGCATCGCCGATACATCGGCAATGCATCGGCGATGCATCGAAGATGCACTGGTGATGCATCGGTGACGTCGGCGATGCATCGGCGACGTCGACGTGAGGCAAATCGGGCTCCGCATCGAGCCGCATCGCCGATGCGTCGCCGATGCATCGCCGATGCGGCGCGACCCTCCGACCCCCTCTGCTCGCACCCCATCTACTCGGACGCCTAGAGAATGGCTGCCAAAGGGGGTCGACAAGTTCGGGGGCACATGTCCAGAGTTATCTTGCTCCCATCGTACTTAAGAACCACATCCTGAAAATCATTTCGAGCACCCAGAAAAGTGTCGAAAGAGTATCGAAAGAGTATCGAAACAGTGCCTCCCAGAGCCCGACACGTGAAAACCATGGAATTCTGGTGTACTTTTCTGGCGCTCAGAATCCTTTCTGGTGGTCAAGGCGAAAGTAGGTTGGAACATTGTAAGTCCAGAGCGAGTCGGGCAACCGTGCGTCTGGGAACGCGCCATCGTCCATTGAGCAGGGACCGACCGTCCCGGCATTCCTATAGTCCTACCACGGAATGTTCTTAGAACTCAAAAACGTTCTCAGAGCAAAAACAACGTTCTTAGAACATGAGCCCGATGTGTTAAAACAGGAGAGACTCCGCCAGAAGCGTTCTGAGAACGTTTCGTGGGAACCACAAAAGGCTCTCAGAACATTGTTTGGTAGGGCCATAGGCGAGCCAGGACGCTTCGCCGCTGCTTGAAAGATGGCCCCTCTCCTCCCCGCTCGCTCGGCCCGTGCCGCTCGGCCGTGCCGGACCCCGCGCCCGAGCGGCCGCGGAGCCGCGGCCCAGCCCCGCGGGGGAGAGCGAGCCCTGCCCGCTCTCGCGCGGCCGGGGCGGAGGAGCAGGGGCGGAGGAAGGCCTCCTCCACACTTACTCCATATGAAAATATTATCCCTCTTCTCCTGATGGCGTCCGGGTGATGGCCGCGCACCCTCCGCGTGCTGTCTTTTTACACACAGGATGCCCGGAAAATCCCGGGAAACGACTCTCGCTGAGGCGCCGGCGTCATTTTTTCCCGAAATGCTGCTCTCGTTGAGGCGCCGGCCTCATTTCTGCTCCCGAATCGTTCCGAATCGTGCTCCCGCTGCAGCGTGGGCCTCATTTTCGGATCGGTGTTTGGCCTCCGTCGTGCAGGATGGCGTTCTCGCCCCAGCGCGGGCCTTTTTCTCGCGCGCCCATCCGCCCGCCACCACCCGCCGCACCGCCACCACCACCACCACCACCACCACCACCACCACCACCACCACCACCACCACCACCACCACCACCACCACCACCACCACCACCACCACCACCACCACCATCACCACCACCACCACCACCACTACCACCACCACCACCACCACGACAACCACGCACACACGCACGCACGCACGCACGTGCACCACCACCCACTACGCACGCGCGCGCGGAGCCACAGGTCCGCTACGACACGCGTCCGCGGATAGAGAAAATCAGCGCCATGGTAAGGGATGGGAGGGAGGGGTAGGACGTCAGATATGACGCGAGCGTACCTAGCTTGCCCTCCTCCCCCCTCCTCCCCCTCCTCCTCCTCCTCCTCCTCCTCCTCCTCCTCCTCCTCCTCCTCCTCCTCCTCGTCCTCCCCCTGCTCGCGCCTCTCCCACTGATGCACAACTCGTCGCGTCGGGTGGGCACCCGACGCGAGGGGCCCTGGGCCCCGCGGGTCTAGAGAACATGCATCGAGAGCGCCGCGGTCGTGCCAGCGCGCTCGGGAGCGCTCACGGAAGCGTCCAGGAACGCTCTGGAGCTGAGCATCCGAAGTTCCCTTCTGCGTCAACGGATGTGTCACGCGTGTGGGTACGCATGCTCTTCTGGTTGACGCGCGCCCGTGTAAATGCTCATGCCCGTTAGGCACGCATTCTGCAGGCAAGCGGCATTACCATCCATTAGGACCATGGATGCAATACGAACCAATACCGAACCGACTACACATTTCATTATATTTCGCCCGAGGTTGACGCGAGTCCGACTGGCTACCGCCTGAGATCGCGCGGAAAAACATCTGCGACTTCTGTACACGAAAATCCGCAGTCGAATGGGTGCATCAAGCGCGTCTGCTCAGGACAAACAGAGAGGGAGTCTCCATGACTCGAAGATCGGCGTCCACGTAGCGCTGCTTCCAGACGCCCTTCCCCTTCGTGGGCATGCGAAAGATCTCCGCACCGAAAAGAGAGAAGGCCATCTCCTTGAACGACACCTTGATGCGCGTATCGTCCACAATCTCTCGCTCTGCAAAAAGCGAGACCTTGAGTCGGGGATGGACAGACCCCCCCTTTAGTAAAACGTGGTTTAGTGAAAACGACCTGAGGCCCAAACCTGGCGGGCGCGAGCCTGGAAAATAACGGCCACGGCGCCCTCTCGAGAACCGAATACGGACAACTCATTAATCGACGTGTCAGGGCAGGAGGTCTGTCCACCCCCGAGAGACCTTGAGGGCGCCCAGCTCCACGGCGTTGATGAAGCTCGACTCGTCCAAGAACGTCTGTCAGCTATTTTTGCTTCACAGCGCGCGCGTCACGGGCAAGTCTGGCGCGGGCGGCACTGGAAAGGGAGGCCGAGTTGGTGCAGGGAGCCGGGGGCCCGGGGGAGGGAGGGGGCAGGAGGAAGAAAGAGAGGAGGGAGATGAGAGTGGGCGAGGGAAGAGGGAGGCGATGAGGAGATTTGTTCCCCCCCTTAGCGCAGTGTTTTTGGAGAGGGAGAGAAACGCTGAGGATACATCGGAGTCGATCCTCACATGAGCGATCGAGGCAAAATCGAAGACGGCTCGATGGTCGACAATTGAGTTTGTTGGCTGCTCTTAGATCCTATTGGGCCTCCGGTGGCGTCTGGGGACCTCCAGGGATCTCTGCGGACTGCGGAGCCCTCGTATTGTGTGAGAGGCGTCCAGGGAAGAGGATCCACGAGGAGGCGGACGAGGATCCCCTGCAGCTGCTGCAGGTTTGCGGAAGGCTGCTCCAGCCATGCAAGGGGGAACCATCGTTTCCTCACATCTCGAAGGCGAATCAAGAGTGATGACTGGGGGGTGGGGGGCAGCGGAGTGAGGAGCACAAGACGGTTCACAAGCACTCGCCGGACGACTTGACCTTCACTTCGTTATGTCGCATGGCAAGGATCTGGAGCAGATGGGCATCATAACCGATTAGAAAAACACGCGTGCAGCTAGCATGGGACATCCAGGCAGAAATTGTAAGGAATCCCACCAGTCCGTCAGGGCGTGAGTTGTTTAGCGAGTTTCTTACTCCAACCCCCGTTCTGTCCCCTTCGGGGAGGGGTTTATCACTGTTCCCTATTAACGTACACCTCCTCCCCCAGGCGACCGGCAGCCAACCAGGAACAATGCCGACCCCATGCTCACCACCCCCAAACCATTCCTGTCACAAAACAATTCTAAACACACTCTCCCTCCAAATTTGGAGCGTGCGCGACCAACACGATGCGCCCCCTTCCATCCGTGTCAAAAAAACAAAAAGCGCCCTGGGGCAAAGTCTTGAGTCATGTTCGCGAGGCCCGCGAGCACTTTGTTCCCTACCTAGGCTCTGCCTATAAGGGTTCTCTCTCTTTTTGCTTAAAGGGGCCAGGCAGTGGAAATCGCCCCGGGCGGTTCCCCCGGCATCCGCCCCGCGGTTCCCCCAGTTACGTCCCCTTAGCTTAGCATTGCTCATCTCATCTTAGCTTATTTCATCTTAGCTAAGCTTAGCTTCATATTAGCTCAGGTTTATCTTGGCTTAGCTTACCTTCATCTTAGCTTCGCTGAACTCTAGCATAAGAGAGCACAGCATAACATAGCATTTCGTAGCATAGCATAGCGCAGCACACCACATCATAGCATAGCCCATCATAGCATAGCATAGCGCAGCATTGCGTAGCATAGCATAGCATAGCATAGCATAGCATAGCGCAGCATAGCCTATCACAGCACAGTATAGCATAGCATAGCGCAGCATAGCATAACATAGCATAGCACAGCATATCATATCATAGCCTAGCCTAGCAAAAGCAAACCCAATGCGAAAGTGTAGATGTAGATGTAGATGTAGGTGTATATGTGGATGTAGGTGTAGGTGTAGGTGTAGATGTAGATGTAGGTGTAGATGTAGATGTAGATATGAGTCTCGCTGTTGATGTTGATGTAGATGTAGATGCAGGTGTATATGTTAATGTAGCTGTGGGTGTAGATGTAGATGTTGCTTTCCTAGCTGCTCCAACTCCTAGGTAGGGTCGCACTGGGATAATATTGTTTTTTTTGACAGGGACACCCACCATCCTTGACACAAAAGCAATGCAGACTGCAAATCGCGGCTAAATCTGGATCATGCGCGGCCACCCCGAGATCACTGTGGAGCGGTTTTCGACAGGGACGGCGGGGGTGGTGGCGCGTGGCCTGCCGTGCGCAGGCCCACCAGACACAATGCTGGGCATCGGTTTTCGACAAGGATGGCGGGGGCCGACATGTCTCCCGATGCGTGCTGTCACGTGCGCGTGCGCACCCGACGCCCTCGGCCCGTGCCTTTATCGAGGCGCACCTGGCGCGGCCGGAGTGTGCGGCACACCTGGCACACTCGGAGCACGTGCCGCATCTGGCGCACCAGGCGTGCCCGGCACGCTGGGGCCCAACGGGTGCCTGGCGCGCGTGGCACCCCTGGCACGCGTGCCGCCCCTCGCCTCAGCGTCGCGCACATGGGATCGGTTTTTAGCTGTCCATCTACGGTTTTTAGCTGTCCATCTAAGACGACCGCTGAACATGTTGAGGATTGGGTGTTCTGTATGTGTTGGGAGTGCGGGTGGGAGTGAGCTAGACGGCCTGCTATCTAAGAGGGTGTCTTGATCACTGTTCCTGATGAATAGACACCCCTCCCCCAGGCGACCGAGGACCAACCCGACACCATGCCGACACCATGCCCACCCGCCCCCCGCCATCCCTGCCACAAAAACAATACAAACCGCACTCTGCCTCCACATGTGGAGCATGCGCGGCCAACCCGATGCGGCCCCCCACCACCACCCCTGCCAAAAAACAATGCAAGTGACACTTCGGGGCAGAGTCTTGAATCATGTTCGTGAGGCCCGCGAGCACTTTGTATTTACCCAAAGACGACCGCTGAACATGCTCAGGCTCAGATGTTACCTGTGTGAGCGGGGGGCGGGTGGGAGTGAGCTCGACGGATGGCGGGCGGGCGGGCAGCTTCGGGGCCGGACCTGGACGGGGCGTCTCGCGAGTGGTTTTGGAGCGCACAAGCTGGCCTCGGCGAGGAGGCCACAATCACTGATCTTACGAAGGTGTTGGCCACAGTTTGGCCTCGTGGGGAGGGGGAACCAGAATTGGAGAGCTCCCCTCCTTTGATCGATCTCCTCGAGATGGTCCCGAGATGACCCCAATATGGCCCAGGGATGTCCTCCGAGGCTCCTCATGGGGGCCCCAAGATGGCCCCAAGGGGTGCCCAGGAGCCCCCAAGAGGCCTCAAGGGGGCCCCAAGATGTCCCCAAGAGGCTCCCAAGAGACCCCCAAGATGTTCCAAGGGGCCCCTCGGAGGCACCCAAGACGCCCCAGGTGGCCTCGGCGAGAAGCCCCACGTCGTTGGTTTTACAACTTGCTTGGCCACATTTTGGCGTCCTGGGGGGCGACGGACCCCAATTGAGGAGCCCACCTCCTTTGATCGATCTCCTCCAAGATTGCCCCACGATGGCCCCCGAGGCTCCCAAGAGGTGCCCAGGAGGCCCCCAAGAGGTGCCCAGGAGGCCCACAAGAGGCGCACAAGATGCTCGAAGAGGCCCCCATGAGACCCCCCAAAACACAGAAAGAGCCCCCCCCAAGAGGCACCCAAGGGTGCCCCAAGAGGCCTCGGACAAGAGCCCAAAAACAATGTCAATACACAAAAAGTTGTGGCACAGTTTGGCCTCATGGGTCCTCCTTTGATCGATCTCTTCGAAGATAGCTCCAGGATAGCCACCGAGGCTCCCAAGATGCCCCCAAGAGGGCCCCAAGATGCTCCCAAGAGATCCCAAAAAACCTCCAAGAGACCTCCAATAGGCACCCAAGACGCCTCACGAGGCACCCGGGACTGCCAACGAAAGAAATCCGAAGAGACTCCGAGAGGAATCCAAGAGTCCGCTGGCCATTGTGCTCGCCCTTCTCCTCCTCCTCCTCCAACTCCTCCTCCTCCTCCTCCTCCTCCTCCACATCTTCCTCATCCACCTGTCCCTATCCTTCCTCCTCCCTCTACAATTAGACCATATGAATACCACTCTCCTCTCTCCCCCGACAACCCGAAGTCCTAGCCTGTCCTCCTCCGCGTATTGCGCTTAACACATAGGATCCTCAAAAGGGCATCGATCACATGTGTTTTTTCAATCCCAACGTTTTCGGTGTTTGCAGGATGGCGCTCCCGTGACAGCGTTAGCTGAATTGCTTGGCTCTCGGTCCATCCAAATCATACCCCCGCTGCAACGCTAACCTCATTTCTATGTTGTGGATCTTCAACATCGTGTTACCTTTCCAGAAACGGCTTTAACTCAACGCGTACGTTTGCTTGTGCGTTTTCCAATCTGGATGTTGCCAACCATTCCCCAACAACGGTTTCGCTTCATTTGTTGCTGCATTTCCGCACTTCCGGCTCTTCCACAATGGCGCTCCCGTCTGATCGTTGGCTCCATTCGCGTCTTCTTGGCCAATCTGGAGAGGGGATCAACGCCATGGTAAGGGAGGGAAGGGTATGACGTCAGATGTGACGCGCGCGAGCGCTCCTAGCTTCTCCCCCTCTCCCTCTCCATATTCCTCCTCCTGCTCCTCATCCGAATTCTCCCCCATCCTCCCCCTACTGGGGTACGACGTCTTACCCAACCATTTATCCCACTGCGTCCTCCCCATCCCTGATCAGGGCAACTCGTCTGGGCATCGTTTCTGGATGGGCTGGTGGGGTTACGCGAAGCTTGTATACTATGAGGGATGAGGGTGGAGAGGGGGGCCAACATCATCCTGGCAAAGGACCCTACCACTTGCAATTGTGCGAACTATCGCCTTCGGCGGATTTCCTTATATGCGGCAACGGCGACGAAGCGTGTGAAAGGGTGTGCCGACATGAAGCGGGGCTCCCATGCGGCCGCTGCCACTGGGGTTTTCGGTAGAAACCCCTCTCGTGGGGTCCCGAAGCGTGTGATGCAGTGCGCCGAAATGGGGTTGTGCCGCCATGCGGGCGTTGTCAGCAGGGCCTTAAAAGATGGCGCCAAATTGGGGCCACGAGGCGTTGTGCCGGGTGGAGGAGACACACGCGGATAGTGCCACTGGGGCCTTCGGTGGAGCTCTGTGTGGGACCACGAAACGCTGCACTGGGTGCGGAAATCGCATGCGGACGATGCCGCTGGGGCCTTCGATGGAACTCCCTATGGGGCCACGAACCGCTGTACTGGGTAGAGGAGACGCATGCGGACAGTGCTATTCGGGGTGAAGCTCCCTATGAGACCACGAAGCGCTGTTTTGAGAGGGGG